ATTCTTCATCTGTCTCTCCCAACCTCTCAGACTCTTATGACTATTTGACCCTTCAGGAAACTTTATTTAAGCAGGCTGACTCTTTGGCTGACAATGGTACTGGTAAAGATCCACAACGACTTCGGGTCCTCTCCAAGTTTATACACGTCGTCATGCTCCTGCTCCTGTGCCTCCGTCTATCTCATCATCAAATCCTATTTCAAGTGCTATTGTACCCTTATCTGAGGGTTCTGATGATCTTCCTATCGCATTACGTAAGGGTAAAAGAACTTGTACGCAACATCCCCTCTCCAATTTTGTTTCTTACTCTCATCTTTACTCTTCCTTTAAATCTTTTATATCTTCATTGGACTCACATTTTGTTCTCAAGACTGTGTCAGAAGCTCTATCTATACCAGGTTGGGTTCAAGCTATGAAGGATGAAATGGCTGCTTTGGAGCAAAATGATACTTAGGATTTGGTATCTCTTTCGTCAGGCAAAAAGGTTGTTGGTTGCAAATGGGTTTATACTGTTAAACTCAATCCTGATGGAACTCTGGCACGCTTGAAGGCACGTCTGGTTGCAAAGGGTTTCTCTCAGGTGAGTCAGGTCTATGGTCTTGATTATTTGGATATGTTCTCCTGTTGCTAAGATGACTTCGGTTCGTCTTTTCATTTCTATTGCTACTATCTATCACTGGCCTCTACATCAGCTTGACATTAAGAATGTATTTTTTAATGGTTTTCTTGATGAAAAAGTTTACATGGAGTAACCACCAGGCTTTGTTGCTCAGGGGGAGTCTCTGAAGGTCTGCAAGTTAAAGAAATCTCTATATGGCCTAAAACAATCTCTGCGTGCTTGGTTCTGTCGCTTTGCATCTGCAGTTCAAGACTTTGGTCTCAGTAGATCAGAGAAAGATCATTCTGTCTTTTGGAGACTACATAATGGCAAGAGAATTCTGCTTGTTGTATATGTGGATGATATTGTAATCACAGGGGATGATACAATTAGGATTAGCAGTTTGAAGAAACATCTACATGAGCACTTCCAGACTAAAGATCTAGGGTCTCTCAAGTACTTTCTAGGTATAGAGGTGGCCAAGTCAAAGAAGGGTGTTCATTTGTCCCAGAGAAAATACGTGCTCGATATGCTTTCAGAAGCAGGCATGTTAGGATGTAGAAGCATTGATTCTCCAATGGCTGTAAATATAAAGTTGTTACCAGATCAGGAGAAACTTCTTGAGGATGTTGGACGATTTAGAAGGTTAGTGGAAAATTTGAATTATTTGACTGTAACTAGACCATACATCACATTTGCAATGAGTGTAGTCAGTCATTTTTATCAGCGCCAAGAACTACTCATATGGATGCTGTGTTAAGAATTCTGCGGTATCTAAAGAAGGCTCCAGGGAAAGGTCTCCTCTACTCAGATCAAGAACACACAAGGGTGGCAGGATTTTCAGATGCAGACTAGGCTGGGTGTCCTGTTGATAGGAGATCGACCACAGGATACTGCATATTTGTTGGAAGAAATCTTGTGTCATGGAGGAGTAAGAAGCAGAACGTAGTATCCCGTTCTAGTGCAGAATCAGAATACAGAGCGATGGCAAATGTAACACTGGAGATGGTCTAGATCCGCGATTTATTGACAAAAGTTGGTACAGAATGTCCTATGAAATTATATGGTGACAATCAAGCAGCAATCCACATTGCTGAAAATCCAGTTTTCCATGAGAGGACGACGCACATTGAAGTTGATTGTCATATTGTTCGAAGGAAGATTGTAGATAAAATCATCATTACAAGACATGTATCGACAGGTCATCAGTTAGCAGACATTCTAACAAAACCACTTGGGAAAACTCGGGTAGACTTTATTTGTGACAAGCTAGGCATGTATGATATATATGCTCCAGCTTGAGGGGGAGTGTTGAGAGATGTTATGTAATGTGGTTTAATCTCACATCGGGTATGAGACCAGACTTGTATCTATTTTCAAACTATATATAAACCAGAGTATGAGGCCTTGATCTCATAACTCTTTTCTTTCCAAATCCCTGCTTATAATATTAACACTCAAAAAGTATGGGAGAATACTATAAGACAAATCACCTTCCCAAATAGTGGACTGTGTAACACTAGATTCACACTAGCCAAAGGTCATCAATCACAAAGTAGAAGAATGATCTGAATGAAGAGAAACTTTCTACCAATAAAAATGAATACAGAAAAGAAAGGCTACATACCATAACCTATAAGACAAATCACCTTCCCAAATAGTGGACTGTGTAACACTAGATTCACACTAGCCAAAGGTCATCAATCACAAAGTAGAAGAATGATCTGAATGAAGAGAAACTTTCTACCAATAAAAATGAATACAGAAACCCCCCCCCCCCAAAAAAAACTTTGGACGATTATCAAGAAACCCCCCTTAACTTTCAAAATAGCAAAAAATCCCCCTTAAGTTTATTTAAGGGTTATCAGAAAACCCCTTTAAATTTGAGATTTTATCAGAAACCCACCCCCACAAATTAGGGGGGTTTTCTGATAAAATCTGAAATTTAAAGGGGGGTTATGTGATAATCCCTACACTTAAGAGGCGCTTTTCTGATATTTTGGAAGTTGGGGGAGGTTCCGATAATTGTCCAAAGTTAAGGGGTTTTTTCTGATATTTACCCTAAGCTTCTTTGCTACGACCTATCTATACGCATCCCAATTAAATACAAGGATCCTTCTAGTAATACATGAAAATTAACTCTTAAAAGTTTAAGAATGATTCTTTAACTTTCTAACTATGACGCTAGCACTACTCAATATACTAAATCCTTAAGACTCCTCAATTAACTAAAATCAATAATAGTAGGAAACAAGAAGGCACTTAGTTGCCTATTAAACTTTAATGCATGATAAGGACTTCAAAAGCCACTTTAAATTGTAGACAAGTTCAAGCTTGCTCAAAAGTTGCTTCAATGGACCTATGGGGAGCAATATGTGAAGATATCAACAATATTATTCTTGCTTCACACCTCCAACACTTAAATTGTATCTTCAAATGTCATTTTGTGTTTGGTTTTTTGCATGCCAAACCTGATTAATACTTCACTTGAGAGAATTTTAATTGCAATTATTTATGGATATAAGAAAGCATATCTCCGCCAAATGTATTCTGCGGCAAAAGAAGACACCTTGAACTTAAATTCAATGGTACAAAGTGAAAACAAAATCTTGCTTCGTAGTACATCAAATAAATGTAATCTAAGACACGTATGAAAAACATAACCAAAAGTAGACTTTCCACCATCCAGATTACCACCAAACTCAGTATCCACGTACTCATGAAACGCATAGCAAGAATCCCTCTTATATGATAATCTCAAGTCACGGGTAAAATACGCTTTGACGCATCAAGATATGATTTCTATGGAGCTCGCATGTAAAGACTCACAAGTCCGCTGGTGAATCTAATATCAGGCCTTGTAATAGTCAAAAGGATAAAGAGTACCAACAAGTGCATAAAATGGTTGAAGAACAGGAAGAGCTTTACCGTCACCACCCCTTAGGATCAACAGGAATAGAACATTTCTCGCGAACCTTCATGTCATACTTTTCTAAACTATCTTCCCACAGAGACTTTTTGAGAAAACGAGAATTCCACTTTCTCTACTTCCAAGGTAAGAAGCAAAATGTGATCTCTTTCTGCCCCTGAAATAGAGTACAAGGCATCTTCTAATCCCACTCAAGAATGTATGTGGATGATGTATTTTACCATGATGTTTTTAATAATATTCATTAATCTAAAACTCTTCATAGTGACAACCAAGGTGCTCAAGTTAACAATCCACCTGGTTGTCAGGATCCACACATTGAGATCAATTACAACTTTATTTGTGACAAAATGAAGGTACAATAGTCTACAAAAGAGTTGGATGTGGAGCAAGGTCAATATTGTTGATATCTTCATAAAGTCGTCCAACGAATCATTCAAACTACTTTGGACCAAACTTAGACTTGTCCACAAAGGTGCAAGCTTAAGGGAGTGCCTCATTTAGAATCTTCATCATGCATCAAATATTAACTGGCAATTTTTGGTGTCGTTTTTATTTTTTATCATTCATTATGTTCAGTCAATTGAAGAGTCATGAGCATTTAGTATATTTATTAGCGTAACGGTCATAGTAAGGAAGCTAAGAGGCTTTTCTTTCATTTATTGCTAGAAGGATCTATATATATATATATACACTCCTATCAACTTAAGTTGATGTCCACCAAACTTCCTAGTCACTTATTTATTAATATATAAAAAAACCTTTTCATATCATACAAGGATCCCTAGGCCTAGGCAATATGAGTGGCTAAAAAGTTTGGTGGATAACTTTTTGTTATGCACTTAAGTTATCAAACTTCCTAGCCACTTATTTATTAATCTAAAAAAACATTTTCATATCATACAAGGATCCCTAGACAATATGAGTGGCTAAAAAGTTTGGTGGACAACTTTTTGCTATGCACTTAAGTTGACACAAGTTTTGCTATATATATATATAAATTATAGGGTTGTGTAGAAAGGTTGTAGCGAAGAAATGGTAGAGGAACTTATAAGACAGATCAAATCTCTACTTGGTGCCCATTATTAGTATAGAATTGATCTTATGTTGTCCTCCAATCTATTGTTTTTGTACTTTGTGGTTGACGATCTTGAGCTAGAGTGAATCTAGTCTTCCACTATTTTGAAAGGACAGGTTTGGTATTGTGATATGTTTCCTAATTTTTTACGTATTCACTATACAAAGAAAAACTTAAAACCCGTCTGATCAAAATATACACACATAATAGAACGCTTAAATATCCTATAATTTATATGTGAACTATAAAACTTCTTTCAGAATGAGCTCAGTCCCTTAAAAGAAGAAATATCTTTTGACTTACAAGTTACAACAAAAAAAAATCAGTCAGCGATATCAAGCTTATGCGCAGGAAAGATGAAGAAAGATTATTTATCATCAATCATCGGTACTTACCTTTATTAGCAACTGAGAATTCCTTCTGTTGACAGCTTGACAAATTTCATCTATTAAGGCACAAAATCTCTGGAACAGAATAAGAATTCGAGAAACATGAGATCTCTTATTAACATACTGAAGAAATCGATAATTATCTGAAAGTAGTCTAAAACAATTTACAGAAATTCAAATGAACTCAAACGAGAATAAGAAAGCTTGTGAATCGTCCATGCTAATAAACATACACTATCTCAAGACATTGAAAGAAACATAAGACCAAAAAAGAGAAAAAGAGGAGCACATCAGTGCACATCCCTAAAGAACAAGTGCCTTCTATGTGTTTTAGAGAGTACCTTTATAAAGAAGGTAAGGTATCAAATGCAATTTATTTAAATCCCACAAGATTGGATAGGACATGGCATCTGATATAAACAGACATAGGATTTTTTGGCAAACTCTAAGCCGTTAACGGATTTGATGTGCCTTACCGATTACCGTTTGAATCGGTCTAACATGTGAATTATCTAAGTCCGTTTCACATATAACGTTGCGCTAAAAGAATGAACTCTCTTAGACTGGGTGCTACGACACCGAATACGTAGACTTTGTCATTTTCACGAAAAAATACTAACCGATAACGCGTGTTAGGCGTAGACTTATCTCTAATTCGGGTTCGAGATAAAATCCCCCATGCGTGTGAGGCATGGATTTTTGTGTTATTAATAACATGCCACGATGTCGAATACGTGGACTTTTGTCCTTTTTTACGGTAAAAAACTAACCGGCAACACGTGTTAGGCGTACGTTTATCTCTAATTAGGGTTCGAGATAAAATCTCACATGTGTGTGAGGTATGGATTTTGGTGTTATTAATAACAACCAGCCACGATGTCGAATACGTGAGCTTTTGTCCTTTTTAACGGCAAAAGACTAACCGACAACGCGTGTTAGGCGTAGGCTTATCTCTAATTAGGGTTCGAGATAAAATCTTCGTGTGTGTGAGGCATGGATTCCGGAGTTATTAATAACAAGCTGCCACGATGCTGAATACGTGGCTTTTGTCCTTTTTTTTACGGCAAAAAAGACTAACCGGTTGCTTTCTAATCAAACCTCAGATGCTAGGAGGTAGGATATGAATATAAGAATATCTGGACGTCGTCCAAATGACAACTTAGCAGGTAAAGGACACCGAGCTGAGTCATATGCCCATGCCAAGTAGATGGCAAAATACTGACGAGAAAAGACTAAAGGGCATGAATAATAATAATGAGAAAGCCTATGATCAAGACTCAAATCAGTGGGCAATCAATCAAAAGACCAACAGGAAGTGCCAAGGACCTGACTGGGTGACCCTCTAAAAAACCTGATCCTTTCAAGCCGCAGACCTTTGTTGCTTTCGCTTCACCCGCCTATCCATCTGTCAGGCAGGAAGGAAATTTTAAGCAATTCACAATATTTTCCATTCCCTATCCCGTAAATTGACTATTTCCTGCCAGTCAACAACAATTTTCTGGTCGTACAAATCACTCCACTTTGTTTGTTTCTATATGATAAATGATAATATGCACCAGTTATTGCTATAGACTGATATGTCCGAAGGGAAATAATCATGTCCATAGGTAAAGGTTTAAGCGAGCCTGTAAATTGCATTTTAGAAGTCCCACTGTTAGTGCTTAACGTCTTGTTCTTTTCCGAACACTTCAAAGTCAAGACAATGGAACTTTTTTATACTAGGAGCGAGTCAGAATGACTTGAAAGATACGTGACAAAGAATAAATAATAATATGTTTGATACTTTGCACCCAGAGTGTACAAGTAGAGAGGAAGGAAAATCACTCTGCATTTCCAGCACTAGGCTGCCAGCAGCTCTTGGAAGGGCGGCGGGTATTTAGTTATTCCTATAATCAAATAGGAAAATACTTACAATTACCACTAGCTAATTTAAATAGACAGTTTCTATTCTAATATGCCACCAATGATTTATAAGGGAAGGATATTATGCCTTTTGCTTATACTGAAAAATTACCAGTGAATTGTCCGCATACAAATATGTGCACTGGAATCGAGTTGGTCCATGAATATACAGCAGCGAATGAAATGTGCAAGTATATGAGAAGCCTCGCTTTTAGTATTCAGAATTATTTGTTTGTTATCGTAATTAGCTTTGTTTGGCACCAACATCAAGCTGTTTGTTGGCGTCAAATAAAGGAAAACCCACAGCGACAAGTGACAAAGCTGAGATTAGCTTGTGATGGCTTGAAATTCAAACAAAAACTAGACTGGAACATTTACAGAAACGTTCTACTGCTCAAAGTGGACCAAGTTACTACAGAACATCCCTAGCAGTAGTATCATCTGTCACAGATGTGAGGAAGGACAAGACCCAGGTTATCAAATTCTCCACTCAAAAACATTTGCGACTCTGCTGACAAAGGAAGGCATTGTCTCGTCTGATTACATAACTCGGATTCAAAGTTTGTTGCGATATCCCATTAACAGCGATGGAGATTTTTCTCACAATTGTTCTCAGAGGAATATGACAGAATAAACCAATGTGGTTATATGAGTTTAACAACTTCTAGTTAGGATTTATGATGCTCAAAAATGAGATAAGCATGAGGTCCATAATGTCAGTACGGTAACCAAGTTAGAGCTCTTTCTATCTAAATTACCAATAAATTATGCTATGGCTGGAACTGTGATTAAATAAGTTTTCGAGATTAAAAGCACATACATTTCAAGAGCCAGAACCACTAGTTGAAGGAGTTTGATCTGCAACAAGGAAATCTTAGATGGAAGATTTCACTGAAACCTAGGTTTGATGATTGATCAAGGAAAAAAATGGAAGAAGCTCTTGTCTGACGGGTCAAACCTTCTAGCGATTAGGTACAGCCTGAATAAATTGTACAAGTTACAAAGGAAGCTGGCATTTGAAGGAATATTCGAACGTTAGGACTTGTAACTGAGGGAAGTTTTGAGGTAGTATAGGGACCTATCAAAGCCTATAACAGGCCTTGTCAACAAGAAAATGAAATTTGAACTCAAGGAATGAGAGAGTAATTTATCTCAAACGAAAAAGAAAAGTTAACTAAAGAGTAGGGTTGGGTAAATAGAGGTGAATATTTCTTGAGTTCTTGTACAAGTTGTAAAGTGAGTGCTCTATTGAGCTCATATATCTACCCTTGCGAAACTTCTCCCCATTAGACATAGCACTTTTTCGCCAGACCATGTAAACTTTGTTCTGTTTGTTCTTTGTCAGATGCAACTGCTTATGTGTATGGTCCTTTCTTTAATACATCTATTATCTTTGATTTCTCAGAAACATGAACCTAGTTTTGGTTATCATTAAAGATGGGTCCAGGACTCCAACGCATTCCAATCACAGGGACCTAGGGTTTTATAGAGGTCAACATTGTGCTTGTCTAGGAAGTTTTTAGAAAATCCCCGCCTGACAGGGAAGGAAAATCATCTCTCCCTAGGGACTTGGTGTGTGGGCTTCTAATGGATCTAAGTGAACATTTCAACTAGGAAACTTAACAGTTTGCACAGCTTTATCATATATCTAGATAACTTTGTTACTTTTCAAATATTATCAATATTAAGAAAAATAAGACAAAAATCTAGGACATATCCAAAATTAAGTCCAAGCACAAAAAACATAGACATCACGTCAACTCACCAAGGAGTCCACTTGGTTCTCTAGAAGCCTTTCTCCCCCACAACGACCCATCTCAGGACCAACACATAACGGCGACCATGCCTGCAAAAGACAAAGAGAACCATATTTTATAGCTCAAGAACCTTAACGGTCTTAACAACGTAGAATTCCTTTTAAGGATTACCATAATTGCTAGCATTACCTCTTTATCTACAACAAGCTCGTCGACCCTAACAGAGGAAGACCCTGGATTATCTGGACTCTTTAGATAGATTCTGGGGTAATGCTGCAGATGATATGTGTGATTATAATTCAAATGCATCCTACCGATTCAATGAAAACCCAAAAATAAGAAGCTAAAGTTGGACCCGCTTAGAAAAATTCTATTTAAAACAAAGGGATAATTTCAGAAAACCTCCCAGAACTTTGGGGTGTATTGTACATAACCTCTTGAACTTTTTTACCTCATGAAGGCCTCCTAAACTTTGGAGTGTCAGAAAACCCCCGGAACTTTACACTTTTCTCAACAGATCCCATGCCTGCAATTTGCAAATAACTAAAGCTTAATGGAGAGAGAAAACCCTCAATTAGGAGGAGGGGTTGCATGTTGCCTGTAAATGACGAATGATTGAATTCAGGGTTTTTCCTCTCAAAGAAGTTTTAGTTATTTGGCAATTATATGTAGGGAATTCCAAAGACAAACATTGAAAGTTCAGGAGGGTTTTGTGAGACACCACAAAAGT